TTCCCGATTACGATTGGACAGCTGAAACAAATAGAATCGGGGCTCAGCCAAGTACACCGGTACATTCGGGCAGTTACAGAGTTAATAGTTTGTGGATTTAATCCGGCGAATCCAGTCACCATTATATAATGGCACGGTAGATCGTTCCGGAGAAATGGTTGAATCGAGTGAGAGAGTCCCGGATTAGCGGATGCATCAGTGCTTACAGAGGACCATGATTAATCCAGCCCTATGGCCCGAAAGCCGATGAGTCGGGGCGGCCTGCAGGTAGACGAAGCGGAACGCGGAGACGGCGGTGTTTGCGAATTCAGATTGATCCGCGACTGCCAGATGCAACTCCTCTCAACGACGTGTAAATTCGCTTCACTGTCGTCGGAATATAAATCGTCGGTGAAATGAGTACGAGGCGAGAAGTACGGTGAAGAAATACCACGATCGCGCAATCCTAAGCGCGATCAATTAAACCATCGACTCATCGGAAGAATCGGATCACATCGTCGGAGACATCGATTGCTGAATATCGATTGCTGAACGTTATCGTAATGAAGATTCATTATCCATCGTTAAAGAGTAAAGCGCTGAATGAGCAATGAGCGTGTTATATCTAATACTTAGGTGCACTCCGCACATCGGATCCGCACTCGATCCATTCCAAGTAGTTATTTCAAGTATCAAACGCTGCGCGTGGTTAAATTCGCGATTTTCCGATAATTAATTACACACTTAATTATGCCAGATGCGGCGCAATTAGTTAATTGTCATCCAGTTATTTTAATAAAATTAACTTGTGTTCGCGACTGGATCTGTCTGGATTTGCTGGATTTTTCTTCGGTATACATTTCGATTCATAATTACAGCTGAGTCATAAACGACGATCGAAAGCGGCGATAGTGGGAGCCAAATGGTAATTGGCTACGCGACTTTGAGTCCAGTCAGGCATTAGTTAACGAGCCACGGTTATTCCACGAACCGAGGAACCGTGTTCGAATGCGCGGGCCAAAACTTCGCAATTAAAATCCAAGCGGAGCTGATAGCTCTCGGTCGAAACTATAATCTTGAGAAGACTATGCTCAATCACCCGGTCAACCCACTATTATATCCTCAGGCTATAACTTAGTCCTGCTTTCACGATGAACACCTATTATAGTGGGGCTATACTGGAACTAGATGCCCCAGTTATGTCGCGCAACCTGTCGAATGTACGACTGACCGAAAAGATATAATTGTTTCAAAATAATAATAATTTGCAAATTTCTATTAAATTAAAAATCTCTAGCAAAATAGATTCCAATACGTTCAATAGACTGAATAGAAAATGGAAACATTTCTTTGTTACGACAAACTGATCACGATAAACGATAAGTGCATATTAGCTGCAAAGCTGCAAACAGTAAGTACATATGTATTTATGATTGACAGCAGCGAATATCCAATACGTTTGACGAGAACGACGGAAAGCTCGACGCATGTGCGGATATCACCTGGAGAAGTAAAAGAATTAATGTCCACGGCGTGTACTACGTGCAAAACCTACGGGGAGACGAGCGTCCCGGAGAGGCGTCGTTATCTCCGCATCGTGACGATTCAAGCCTTCCGGCATAGCTGCGGCTGTTATCCGTCATCTTAATGCATAGCCGGAACACCATGCGACGCACCACCGGCTTATAAACGACGCGATTATTCCGTCCTTTCCCACCCATCGAACCCCCTATCTCTCTCCCTATGGCCAACACCACGTCGTCCCCCACGTAAGAGCAATGTCGGCCATGGACGGGTCCGCGTGGTCTCTATAAATGCATCGATTTGAATTTCATGTCGGGCGAGCCGGGGCAGGATGAATAGTTTTCAATACCTTTCCTCTTGTCGATCCTTTCCGATTCCAGCGCGCTGTTCATCGTGTATAAATCTTTCTTCGCTCTCGCAGATGCCGCTATTCTTCGAATTCTGTAATAACTGTGTTTCTACGTTTACCGTAAGAAGCGACTGCGCGCAAATACATAAGTCATTTAAAGATGTATATGTATCTGAAATAAGATCGATTACTGAGAAGAATTTTTATTTAGAATACAATTTGCTAACTAAAAGTAATAATTACGGTTACGTCGAATTATTTTACATTGTGATCGACAATTAGAAGCCGAATAACCTATATCGTCCTTTAATTAAGCAATCCTCAATTAATTCTCGATTGATGGAATGTTATTCAAACGTTGCAGAAGCCGCAGTGCGAACGGCAGATAGGTACATTCAGTTGCAATTCAAATAGCATCATGTATGAAATAATTGCTGCGATATTGCTTTTAAGTGGTAAGCAGAAAGATAGAACGTTTAAAAGTTATGTTATTTAACAAAAATAATAAAATTTCTATGTAAATAGCGTTATATAGATACGCTAGATATTATTATTCGAGTAGTAGAATATTATTATTCAATTCTTATCTGTATGTAGCACTTGTTATTGCCTTAATGCAAAATGATATTAATAATTATGCTAAGGACGACACCGCAAATGATCGATAATAATAGTGTGGATATCGTTACGTGAGATGTAAAGCGCAATAACCGTTTAGTGTAAGTTAAATGTGTCCAACGAATTTGTGCCCAGAATATCAAGCTTGTGGTTTTCATATGAGTACCTTGCATGTCGCGGTTATCTTTACGAGCTCTTTAAATTGTGTCAATTTGTGTAACATAAATAAAATTGATTTATATCTTACGTATACATATAATCCATCATCTTTTCATTATAATATAGCTTTTCGCTATAACGTAATAAAAATAAAAATAATAAAGAGTAACCTAATGTACCAAGTGCTTTTCATAAGACCTTGTCAAAAGCATTCCTTCGTCAACATTTTTCAGCAATTATAATTCATTGTACAGCCCGTAATACAAGTACCATTTAATGTGAATAAAATAGCAAGCACTTTCATTACAATTCACAAAGCTAATTTTCTATTGTTTGAGACGCCTTTTTGCTTACATAGCAATTTTTATCTTTTTTCTTCGCAACTTATTGGTCGCGTCCTATTGTTTTACTGCTTTCGAATGCCAAACAAATGTATGCTCAGAAAAATTTCTCGCACAAAGCTTATTTATATCCTAACTTTGCGCACATCCAACCAGAAAACGGATAAAAATGTAACCTTTTATTCTAATGAGAGTTTATGCGCGAACTTTGCACGACAGTTACAGTAAATTTGCGAAAAGTTGGTACAATGCATATCCGTTGAAAATATTAAATATTATATATCTATGTGATAATCTTTACGACGTTTACTTGATAAAATTCAGATTCTAGCTCATGATAACTGAACCAGAAAAAATAAAAAGTTAATTTTAGCTTCTACATCAATATACATCAATATTTACAATTAATATTTACGTAATTTACAATTATAAAAAAATAGATATTAGAATATCTTTTTTTAAAGATAAATGTTGCACTAGATTTTATTTAGTATATTTGAGTTATATTATTAACCATTCGAGTATTTACAGTTCCATTACTTGAGCCCCTTAATTGAAAGAAGAGGTTAAAGAACTGATGGAGCAACCGATCCTTGGAACAGAAACTTTATCGAATTCCTTCTTCCTGTTCCTATTTCACGCGGTTTTCATTCCATAATTAGTACTTCGCAAAAGCCATTACCTACATAATATCGTCGCTAAACCCACTCTAACTGATGACAGCTGAACCGGAATTGTGAATAAGGACTGAATAAGATCGTTCTAGCTTGTACTTGATGAGTATTCATTTTTATACCTCTCTACGTAATTTTACTAATTAATTAACTAATTGCTTCGACTGTGCAGGAGGATTCTTTAGACCATCTGAAGAGCGGCAATGTATAAAAACTGCCGCAGAAAGATAGAAACTCTCTTAATTTTTTTCGTGGTTTTGTTAGCGAGGTCAATGGGTTAAATAACTCGACTTATTGTACGGTGCCTTGGATTTGCTTTTTCAGGATATTTCATGAATAGATTTAATCTCGTAATATATTGTATATACCTTTTATATGTTAATGTAAAATCTACTAATATCAGAGGTGCGCAAAATTGATAATGTAGCATCGATTGCGAATACTGAGAATAAATTAAATTATTTCAATTTAAAGCGCATCATATAACTGTATATAAAAATTTTCTTATTTTATTCGTAACAATTTGATCTAACAACGAAAATATCTCAGATAACATATAACATATAAAATAATCTCTAAAATTGAAGAAATTATCTAATATTAATTATTTAATGGTATAAATGCATTAATTCAGAATGCTGTCCAACCACCATTAATTAACATACATTAGTAATACTTTCACATTAATATTGCAAAATTGTCGCGTCACTTAAAGTGACTTAGTGCCATTTAGATATTTCTTATCATGGGGGAGCATACGCGGAGCTGCAAGATAGCCATGCAGAATTTCGCAGCCAGTTTCTAACTACTTATTCATAAATTATTCTTATAAGTACTCTATAAAAACACGTTTCATGATCCCTTAAAATAAAATTTGAGATATAAGATTACATCAAGAATAAATTTAGATTGGTCACATCAAAATAATAAATTATAATGTTATAATAAAAGTAGATATGTCAATATCTATTAACTTTCAGATATTTGCAGTATTAATTTCTAAAATTAAACTAAATTCCGAAAGCAAAGATATTATTGTGGCAAAGATATCATTGATATGTACGACTTATTACGTTTATAAAAAAAAAATTTCATCAAGATGACTGATTTCGTGTTAAAAATCATACAGATCTAGATTTAATAATATATACGTGTGTGTATTTAATAATAATAATAATAATAATAATATATATATATTTTAAATCCGTATTTGCGTAATATTGATTAAACAATATAGGAAAATAGAAATAGGTTTTGAAAATTTAGTAAGCTGCAATTGATACTTAAATGATGTGCCATAATCCATAAAAAATCGATTAGAGATCATTTATGCACATCCATAAAAGTTCAAATTACCTTGTATCCGGCAAGATCTTGAACTACGCAGGAGAGAATGGCTTCTCTTCCCACTGGCGCGGTTACATTGGCTATTGGCTCTTTGAATTTTGGATCTAAAAAGGAAGATAAAATTGCAATGTTTTAGAAACATGTATTACAATGGATATAATATGTAATAAATATAATACGTATAAAAAATTCTTAAACTAATAAAATAGAATATATATTAAAAAATTCTTTAAACAGCGGTATATTAATTAAACTATTAAATATTCATTGTATCGTTTTTAAATTTAAACATCGTTCATTATATATATTTTAGTCTATATGTAAAACTTGACAAAGATAATTCTGTTAATTTATTCAATTTATTCCAATTTTGGAGTCAATATAAATAAAAATAATTAAATTTATTCTATCCAACGGTTTATCAATATTTTATATATAAGACAAATATAATTATTCTGTAAAATCAATTTTATTGACTATTTTAGATTATTTGACTATCTTAGATAAAGACTCAGATTAAATAAATTACTTTGTTTGTAGAATGACATCTGATATATTTATTATTATCGTATTTTATTAAGTAGTTTCTAAGAAACCAGTAATTTTATCTCATTATATCTGTCTAAATTAAGATATTGCATAATTATTTCTTACAGGAAACGATCAATTAAACTTAATGTGTTTTCAACTGTCACTATTTGTCACATCTTTATTCCATTTTAATGTTTTTTAATGTCTACTATTATTGATATAGATGCATATGCAATTTAGGCAAAACATTGTATCTTCAAATATGAAGACATTAATATCATATGAGAGGCGCACGGAAAAATTATATTCAGTGATATAAAATAGGATATGGGGCGGCAAAGAGCGCCGGAAAGAAAAATGGCCACCAGCATAGCGTGAAAGATAAATGCACGTTTGGATTGCCCGTTGCAGATTTATCCCCCAGCAATTTAATGCGATATTATTGGATGTACATGGTGTGATGCGCAATGCGATCAGTTTGCACGCTCTAGTCGCGTCTGTCATACCAATAAAAAATAAACATCAGTCGCTGATCATAATATGAAGGTGTAGCGTATGGAATGAGAAAGATGGAAATCATGTTTGCGTAGATAATGAAACGATCATTGGCGCAACAGAGACTAGGAACAGTTCAAAATGTAAGTAAGTCTTAGACAATTTGGTAACTTTGAACGCTATGACCTTGATTGATCTTCCATCAAACGTAGACATTGACCAACCACTACTGACTATTCGTAATATCACATGTAAGCATATAGGACACGCATATCTCAATCAGCACATACAGTTTATGACAATGACACAAATTTCAATTACGAGTCTTGTGAACCGAACCATGCTATATCAATAAGAATTTTTGCAGCGCGATAACGCACGAAATTGAATTTGATGGCAAATTGTGTAAAGTACAAATTGATTTTTATTCGGATCGATAAGTTTTATTATATCATCGTTATTGAAGCGAAATAAATTGGTTAACTTGAATGTGCACAGTGTAATCGCGGAAAAAAAAATTAAATTAAATTTCCCCGCGTTGGTATATCTTTACAAAATGTACGAAATGTACGAAAAAGGTACACGAGACAAAAAGAGCGATCAGCGTAAATGTATTCGATTAAAATGAATCCGGCAAAGTGTGCGTAGCCCAGGTAGGTACGTGTGTACCTTCATATAATCGCTCTCCCGATAACAGGCTTGTAAATAAAATACAAGCTTCTGTGCTGTCGCAAAAGGTCATCCGTCCCTCCATTAACGATAACGCGTAAACGTCAGCATCGATCACGGCCAAGGATATCCTCGGTCGCTGGTATCGCCGACACGAAATTATTCCGGCGACTGCATTACGATATTGTCCATCAAATCTCGCCCGAGTCAACGCACACGGCGAACGCATACAGCGCGTTCAACGAACGGCAAACGTGGTTTCGCCGACCGAGAGACCCATTAAAAGGTCAACATCCATCAAGAGCCCCAAAAGTGGCCCCACGGAGATTGTTTGCGAGGGTCATGAAGCGCGAGCGGGGTTAAAACTGACGTGAACATAATCGTAGATGGTTTCGTAATGGGAGCATAAGGGAAACCATAATTCCGGCGGAAAGTTTCCCATTCGTTCGCGGCCCGCGGATCGTGCGGCCCTCGCGGGAAATTCGACCGGTATTAAGGCCTTCGCTTCGGCGGGCATTGATGGATCAGACTTACCCGGAGAATGGCTATCTCAAACCCTCAAAGTGTGTCGACGAGAACTAGGCGAGAAGAAGGCGAACGAGTCTTTCCTCTGGCGAACAAGAAACGCGACACGGCGGAACGGTCTCTAAATGACATATGACTCTCAATATTATGTATTCTTTATTCTCGAATATAAGAGAGAATATAAGAGGGAAGAACGCGTGTCCACAGTTTGACTTCTGTCGGCATCGATCTTCGCGATGCGCATGATCAAATCCATGAAATTACACGAAAAAAGACGAAAAGAATAAAGGCAAATGGACTATTTCCTAAATATAGGTGAATTTATGCTTTTATATTTAAGTAACAATTTGCTATTTAACCAGAAAGTCTTCAGCTAAGAATAAAGTAACTAACGACTATGAATAAAAAATGTAATTAATCCTGAAGGCAGTGACAGTAGGTCAGGACGATATTTATTTTTACATTTCTGGATTTACGACATAGTTTTCTATCGAAATATGGAAATCTTGTAGTTTTTATTTACCGTATTATTTAACTTATCGCGCTACGATCTACTCTCGGGTTTGCGTCATAAATGTCGCACACCATTTACGACTTTCATTATATTTGCAACTCAAATTTCGACGATAATGTTCTATTATGAAGTAAATGCTACAACAGTTGTAAATTTTATCATGAATAACACATTACCTCTGATATTTTTCGATTAGCTTTAGAGCTAAGACAAAAATGCATCTCCGACATCGACAATTCGGCAGTAACGTGAGCCTGCATTTTTCACAGCCCTTACCCGCGCTGCTTCCCGCATATTGTCGTCCGGCATGGCATTTTAAGTTATAGCCGACGAAGCGTATGTAAGTAATCCAATAGCCGACCATTTCGAAAAAAGCGAGCAAGGAAAGGCGAGCACGCGAGAGTTAGGGCACGAGGATGGAGGACGATAAAAAAAATATCACGAGAGTTCGTCGATGCACATCGTCACTAATGCACTTTGTAGGACGAACGTCAAAATATCAACGTCCGGATTTTGAGCACGAGGCACCGGCTGAGTTTAAAACAAAATTCAATCGCCCCGCGACATTTACGATGCGAAATAAGTTTTCATTTATAATCTCATTTGTCTGCATACGATCGTTGGGCACAATTCGGGAAAATAATATAAGCGCGTGCGTCATTGCGAGAAAAATATGTTTTCGATACGCGAGTGGTATAAAAATAAAAATATATGATATATGATGGACATAAAAATGTCACATAATTAAAAACCGGAGATAAAGATAGAAGGTAAAGGGCAGAGCTTCATTAGGAACAAAGTGATATTAATGTCCTTATAATTAATCTCTTGGGCGGTATTTTCACATTATTATATTAATATGGTTATATTAATATGGTTATATTCTATTCATAAATAAACCACAACGCTGTCTATCGCTCGTGAAAAGCCCGCATAACCGAGAGCCAGTGAACCGTGTTAAAACACCCCCGCAACGTGGCATTTCTCACCTCGGCGACCATGCTTCCTCGATTTTCGTCGCTTCGACTTCCGAGTGGAAACGCGCTCGGAGCGAGGTCAAACGGAAGAATACGCGAGAGACGACGGGTCGTAGTTTTCTCTGGAAAAGAATTTGGAACAACCGGAAGTCCCCTCGCGTGATACCGAAAGATTATCATTTTGCGGACGCGGATAAAAAATCGTAATATCTAGTCATCGCGCGGTTACAATGCCGCGGAATAACGAGAATTTCGTGCGTTTAGTCCGACCAGGTGCTTACGCCTCTATTTATGGTTCTTCGCGAGCGTTTATGGCAGCGTGGTGGCAAATACGCGTCGCAAAATCCCCGAAGCAAAAGGTATTTTATGTACGCGCGTTTCTTTTCTCTTTTTCACTTGTTTGTCGTACTTCGGATTCTCGAAAGCTTGCCTCCTCTTTTGCGACTTGTTCGCCTAACCACCTCCCTGCTCGATCTCCTCATCCTGGTCGACCTCTGTTCTCATTATCCGACCCGTCGCGACTTATTTGAGTTGATTCGTACTATCCTGCCACTTGCTATATTTTTCCTGCGCATGCCCTTTGATTCTGATTTGCTGCCCGTTATTCAGAAATACTGCTGGTGGTGTTGAGAATTGCTCGCTTTCATCTTTCTATGTTCGTGTTTCCATCATTTACGAAATACATATACATATTACGTTTATGTATCGCTTCTTCATCATTTTAACATTTTATCAGATAATTACTAATTATTTATTAGTTTAATAATTATGCCTAATATTTATGCTATCAGAAATATTTTTAATAATTCTTGAGATCTTATTTACGGCTAGATGTCTCGGTTGGATAATATCGACGCTCGGAGTCTAATAGGAAATTTATTCGCTCCCTTTCTCACCGCAGCGGCAAGCTCGTGTCTCTTTATTCTCTGTCAGGTAGAACATTCCCTTCCTTTTATGCATCGTCTAATTCAGCACTTGGACTACTCCGTTTTTACCCATCGTTCTTCCCTCTCGTATCCTCTCCCTATGTCTCTCATCGTTTCCCGTCCCCTTCTCATTTTCTCAAGACTCAGCACCTCCGCCGCACCGTCTCGTTTCTACTCGTTCATTTCCATCCCTCTCGCTCCGGTATTTCGCGGCTCGCGAACCTCGTGAACCCACGTGGTACAAGGCGTATAGCATAATAACGAGCCATGAACAGCGCAACGCGTCGGCCGCTTTATTTCACCATTTCTGGAGTCTGAAATATCTCGCTCCTCTGAAATCACTTCGCGCGGGCTAGCAGTAACTTCCCTTCCGCGCACACGGCTCTCTCCGTTGCAAACGGCTTAATGCCTGCACCGGTAACTCATTCGAAACTCATTCCTTGCGAGAAATAGTTCGTGGGAATCTA